CCTCAGCAGGCCCTTTCTGATAGTACTAGGTTGCTGCCACCAATCCCACCTGGCAGGGACACCCTTCTTAGAGGCCCTGTGCCCAGCTGCCCTTAGAGAAGGAGACCCTCTTCACGCTACTCATGTCAAGTTCTGTGTATTCTTTAAACTCAGTAGGAAAGGATGCAGCAAAATTTTTTTTAAAATCTTTTGATACCACTGACACTTTTTATTGTATCCAAAAACTATATGACTATTTTCAACTTCAGTGAAATGTTGAAGTGTATTGCAAATACATTTAGCAAACATAAATTGAAAATATTGTTGAATATACATTGGGGAAGTTGACTTGATGTCTTGATAGCATGAAACTTCAATTGCTATGTGTAAATTTGTTTTAGAAATTCTTAATATTCAGGCCAGGTGTGGTGGCTTATGCCAGTAATCCTAGCACTTTGGGAGGCTGAGGCAAGAGGCTCAGTTGAGGCCAGGAGTACAAGCCTGAAGTGAGCTATGATCACACCACTGCACTCCAGCCTGGGCCACAGGATCTGTCTCTAAAAAACAAAAACAAAAACAATAACAACAAAAAAAAAGACAAAAAGAGAGAAATTCTTAATATTCAATAAAGATATAAATTCTAGACTTCAGCCAAAGGCATACTTTTTGAAAACTACACTTTTGGATTTATTTGTTTAGCGCTTATTTGGTATGATGTGTTAAGTAAAACTAATATCATTAGCAAAGAATTATAGGAGCCAAGATTCAATGTATATAATGTTCTTGGAAACATTGAAGGGATTCAGAAATGTTTTGAAGAAAAACTAAGAGACAATATTTATAAAATATACATGAGGGATGCTAAACAAATTGCAGCCTCTTGACTTTGATGTGGAAAATATTTTTAAAAGGTAAGGAAAACTCATTTTTTTAAAAAAATCCCATGATCAGCCTAGCTATGATCCAAAATTAATTTGGGAGTAAATTTCTTTTTTTTTTTAATTTTTTACAAAAGTATCATCTTTCAAAGACAAGTTTATGATACTGAGCATTTTAATCTACGAGTGATCTAGAGGCCATGTATTTGAGACTCATAATGCATGTGCAATACTCTACTACGTGCAAATTTATAAGACAAATAGACTGTGTATATATATAAGCAATGTGATATTGATGGGATATTACCATATAAGCAGTAAAAGCCTCAGGTTACTTTCTAAAATCTAGTATGTTATCCGTGAATGTATTTTACTATATTTGGAGCAATAGCTTTATCAGAGGCCTGTCTACATACCTCTTTTTTTTAAAAAGTTTGTCTATCACTATACCAACTTTAATTTTTATTATTTTTACTTTTTAGAGATGGGGTCTTGCTAAGTTGCCCAGGGTGGTCTCAAACTCCTGAGCTCAAGCAATCCTCCTGCTTCAGCCTCCTGAGTAGCTGGGATTACAAGCTTAGGGGACTGCACCTGGCATCTCTTTACATACTAGCTCCCAGGATATATTCAACTTTGCCAATATAATTTCTCAGAATTCAAATTTATTCAAAATACTTAAAGCCTGTAATGCCCTAAGAAAGGCAGTCAAGTCTGGCAATGATTTCTACAGAAAACAGAATACTGGGGCACGTAAGCAATGAAGCCATCCTGGGAATGTTGTAAAGGAAGAAAGATGTGTAATTATGTTTAGTCTGGTGACCTTGAGTTTCTCATTATTGTGATTAAAAGGTCCATTTTCTAAAATTTATGTCTGATAATTTAATTTGCAAAATCTATTCAGATTGACTTCATTTTAGTAATCATGATTATTGAAAAACAAATAATGTAGTAATTACAGTTTTTCCCTTATGGAAGAGGCACTCTTTTCCAATTCACTGGGAGGTGTCATAGAAGCCCACACAGGCCTTGTGTCCTGGGTGACCTGTACCAGCTACTGACTATATGACTGTCATAGGAAAGAAGTGATAGGATGGCCTTGCTACTAAAACTATCTAACAGAGAAAAATTAACTAACAGAAAGAAAGAGGAATAAACTCACAGAACATAGTTACCCCTTTGAAGGGAAAGATCACAGCACAACAGCCCCTTTTTTGATCAACTACCTGGGGCTTAACTTGGTATCTCTCAAAGTTTTATTTTAGCAGCCTTGAAGAGAAGAGGGGGAAAAAAGGGAAAAATAGATACAAGTATTTCACAGTCATTTTCTGTTATCAGCTGGCAACAATCACTTTTTTCCCCGTTTAGCTCCATGAAAAGCCCAAACCATTTGTCCTCTGGGCCAACATTTCTTCTTTGTTATGTTCACTCCTTTCCCTATCTCTCTAAGGAAAAATAAAATAAAATTTCTTTCTTTAAAACTATTCTCATCTTTGTGTTGAGAATTCTTTCTCATCCTGCATTATGAGTCCCCACCCTAACAAGAAGGGAATCCCCAGAGCTCCTCTTACTGCTTTCAGGGCAGGAGGTACTATGACCTGAAAGTTTGACCCCCCAGTTTCAGCTTAGCAACTTCCTCACCCCTTTAACCTAGAAAATTATTACTCAATCCATGGATTATGGATTTAGGTGCTTCCTTTGGTGGCCTCCCTGACTCTTAGGCCAGCTTGGGACTCTCTGGTCTGCTCCCAGAAGACTCTATCTTTAGCAAGCAATTAAATGGAGATATTACTTAAGTGTGCTGCAGGCTGGGTCTGTGGCCTTGTTATCTCCATAGAGTTTGCCCAGTTCATTGTGAATTTCAGATATGGGACATACTTACACTAAAAAATATATTAATTGTTTATGTGAAATTCAAATTTAACTAGGTATCCTTTTTTTTTGTCTTTTGTGGTTGGTTTGTTTGTTCTTGTTATTTTTGCTCAATCTGGCAACCCTTTCTCCATGGAAGAGTGTAGTATTTGGGTGGCAGGGAGGGCTTGGAAATTCTTGGTAAGCCAGGCAGATTCTGAGCGAGCTGCTTGAAAGATGGGATGAAAAGACACAGGGCGACCATGTGGCAGCCGTCCCACAACTCCTAGCAGCAGAGAGTAGGTCTCTTTCTATATCACCACATTTAAATTAATTTGTAAAAACCATACTTCCTTTCTTCAGGCTGTCAGAAGACAAAATTACAACACATTTAGTGTAAAGATCTTTTTTTTTTCCCTTTGTGACAGAGTTTTACTCTATCACCTTGGCTAAAGTGTAAAGATCATAATTGGCTTTACTTATGATTCTAGAATCAGGCAGCAGCCCATTCTATAAAACGGAATCAATGTTCCCATGAGCTGAGCAGAGGAGGTTGGTTTTATAGACAGAAAAGAGCTGAGGAAGCAGAAACAGAAGACAAAAAGCAGATTGGTTGTTTTGAAGCTACTTTCCTGGAGAAGGTTAAAGCAGAGAGGATTTCCTTATAACACTGGCTAAAAGTTCCCTGCTTGGGGACTTAGATGTCGTGTCTCACTGTCCTGATTCCTCAGAAGGCCAGATGAACAGCTTAGCTTTGGCTGGGGGCATGGGACTTCAGCACAAGTGACTCTACTTCCGTTTGGTCTCTCGGTCCCAGTGCAGGAGCTCAGTCCAAACCAATGGCCTCCTATAAATTGTAGTTAACTACAAGAGGCCTTGACTTCTTCATGTGCAAAATGAAAGGATTAGGTCACTGGATCCTTGGGAATCTATGAAAGCTGTGGGTCCCTCTCCAGAAAATCTGCTTATACTTGGAAAATTGGGTGTAGTTTCAGAGGGATTATAACCCCCACTTGAAGGCCTTCCTTGGGCCTGGGTCTCCTGTAAGGGCAAATAGAAACTAAAAATGCCAGGCTTAATTTCCTATTAAAAATAAGGGAAGAGATTTGCCTCTCCTCTTTCTTTTCAAAAGTTTTCTCTATCCTTTTCAAACGTAAATAACTCTTTCTAATGGCTTTAATAGCCTCTGATGGGCCTCAGGAATGTTTCTTTGAGGACCTGGGAGCATCTTTTTGAAATGCAACACCAAGGCAGATGGCAGCCCTAGTCCCAGTTCCTATGGGAGGGTAAGAACCTAACTTCGGTGGGCTCCTTGCTCCAGTTTGCAAAATTACCCCTGTCATAAAGATATGAGAAGTTTGCTTCTCCTCTGGATGAAGCTAGCACAGGTAGACTCTGCACTACAATGGTAAAGTTAGAAGGAACTGACCGGGCGCGGTGGCTCACGCCTATAATTCTAGCACTCTGGGAGGCCGAGGCGGGAGGATTGCTTGAGGTCAGGAGTTTGAAACCAGCTTGAGCAAGAGCAAGACCCCGTCTCTACTATAAATAGAAAGAAATTAATTGGCCAACTAATATATATAGAAAAAATTAGCTGGACATGGTGGTGCATGCCTGTAGTCCCAGCCACTCAGGAGGCTGAGGCAGAAGGATTGCTCGAGCCCAGGAGTTTGAGGTTGCTGTGAGCTAGGTTGATGCCATGGCACTCACTCTAGCCTGGGCAACAAAGCGAGACTCTGTCTCAAAAAAAAAAAAGTTAGAAGGAACTGTGTGTGACAAGAGATGCTGCCGAGTCCTCTTACTTCTGGGGATTAGTTATTATTTATCTTGAAAGTATGTATATACGGGCTATATGTGTTGGTTATGTAAAGGGTCAGACTTGTTCATCTTCGTAATCTCTTAGCAGATTGTGAGATGCATCACATTCTGGTTTATTCGATAATAAAACAGTTTCTGTCTCTACTATCTTATGGAGAGGATTTCTGGGTTGGGAGAAGATTTTATTCTTTTAATTATATTTCCCTAACACCCTGCAGACTAAATGTTCTCCATGGACCCTTCCAGCTCTACAAGATTGTCATTCTGTGGCTCTCGCCCTACTCAGGAATAATGAGCTCATTTGCAGAAGTAGGAAACCCTGAACACCTTGTGCGTACCATCTTGGAGCCTTTTTTGTTGGATGACAGCAAACGATTTTGCTAATGTTAATATTTAGCTCCTGAATCTCTGCCTGCCTGAGGGTCATAAGCGGGTTCTGTGTTGTGCTATTGATGTAAGAAAACTGAGTCACAGGAAGAAATGAGAATTTTTCAGCATTTAACAAGAATTCTTGCCCTTTTTCCATCTCCTTTGAAAGAAGATGAGATCTAAGAAAGGGTGAGATTCTGTGACAGAAGCAGCTCAGGAGTGGTAGACAAAACTTCCTGGGAGAACCAACATGACTGAGACCTCCTACATAAGAGCGAGACTTGAGAGGACATTAACGGGATTATCACTAGGAGACAGCAAGGTATCAGAAACCACGTGATACGTTAGTAATGCAAGGATTATAACACAACAATAGCTGTTGAACAATTACTCTGGAGGCAATGTGCCAAGAACTGCGGGGGTCCCAAAATTCTCCCTACAAAGGAAAAATTTTGTAAATAGAGGTACAGTTAGCTACAATTTCCTATTTTCCCTAAGTGTGGTGACTTTTGGGATACCTGTATATTTGTTTTTTTTTTTTTTTTTTTTTTTTTGAGACAGAGTCTCTCTTTGTTGCCCAGGCTAGAGTGAGTGCCGTGGCGTCAGCCTAGCTCAGCAGCACCTCAAACTCCTGGGCTCGAGCGATCTTCTGCCTCAGCCTCCTGGTAGCTGGGACTCACAGGCATGTCCACATGCCCGGCTAATTTTTTATATATATATCAGTTGCAATTGATTTTTTTCTATTTATAGATAGAGACGGGGTCTCGCGTCTCTTCGCTCAGGCTGGTTTTGAACTCCTGACCTTGAGCAATCCGCCCGCCTCGGCCTCCCAAGAGCTAGGATTACAGGCGTGAGCCACAGCGCCCGGCCTGTAGATTTGTTTTTTCATGTAATGCTTAGGACAACCCCACTGGGGTAGGTGTGATCATCCCCATTTTATAGAAGAGGAAATTAAGGCCTAGAAAGAAAAACTGGTCCAAGGCCACAGAGGCTCTGTACTACTCACCTTAAACTACAAATAGCCCCCATGGCATTGATGAGATGGAGAGGAAGTGGGGTCCCACACCTCTGCTCTGTAATTTCGAGAAGATCCCATGGTACCAAGCCACCAGGAAAACATGGAAGTTTCTTGGAAGTGCTGATATGGTGTAGGAGGCCTGCAGTCAGAACTAGGAAAGAGGTGACAGTCGGCCTTAGGCTGCTCCTACTCATTCCAGAATCTTGTAGTTTGTTACTGCCTGGCCACCCTCTGCTCGAGTCTAATTAAGACAATGTGAGGAAGACATCCGGCTGTCGCTGTCGGGTAGATAGCCCGATGTCAGGACAGGACTTCCTGGGTCAAGGCTTGGAGGGTGGAGCTGGCTTGTCTGGCGCTCTTGTCCTACGTCTTTTAAAGCCAGGCAATCAGGCCACCTCTGTTAGGCCTGGGGTGGGGGCCCAGGGAATCAGATTCCAGCTGACCCAGGTCCTGCCACCTCATAGTGTCCTCGGGTTCTTAGATGTGGCTGCCAGCAGGAGAGAGGGACTTGTTCTCACAGCCTGACTGAGAGCTGGCATCTGCTACCCTGGCTGTGTCACAGTGTCCCCTGGGGCAATGAGTTCAGGGATCCACAACCAAGATCTAACCATCACACAGAGTCTCTGGAGCAGACTGGCTGTGACTACAGAGTAACAGGAGTCTTTGAGCCGGTCAGTAATGCAAAATCAACCAGTGATTACTCCCCTTTTCTACCATAATGAAATGACAGCACTGCCCAAACCCATAATCTTTAGCAGACGTTTACTTTGAGAATCAAAATGACGGTTTTTAAAAAGGTTTTGTCAATGCTCCTTCAATTCACTTCCTTTAAAAAAAAACCAAAAAGATCTAAAGTTCTGTAGTTTAGGGAACAGATTTCAGAACTGACTTTTAACTTTGCCATTATCTAAATTGATTCAATTTGACCCAGTTTTCTCTTGCTTCAAGGTCAAAAGCACTTGTGGTATTATAGACTGAATTTTTCAATATTTAAAGAACACAGACATGCTCAGAAAATTGCCAGCAGGCAAAAAATAGACAAAACTTGAAGCTGCTGGAACGAAGCAATCAGGGTGGAGAATTGTCTTTTATTTTTAATATCAAGACAGAGAACTAACATTTATGGATCTCGCCAGATGCTGAACATATTATATACCTTATCTCACTGGATTCTAATAAAAATGCTGTCAGGTAAGCATCGTATTCCTTGCGTTACATGGGAGACAACAGAGGCCACGAGATCTCCCAGCTAGAAAATGGGGCACTAGTTCATTAGATCACACTGCTTTCCAAGAGAAAAGAAATAAGTCTCCAACACTTTTTGGCTAATATTTTCAAAACAGGGTTTTTTTTTTTTTTTTTTTTTTTTTTTTTTGTGGCAGGGGGGATAGTTGTTTGTTTGTAAGAGAGAGAGTCTTGATCTGTTTCCCAGGTTGGAGTACAGCGGTGTTATCACAGCTCACTGCAGCCTTGAACTCCTGGGCTCAAGTGATCTTCCTGCTTCAGCCTCTCCAGTAGCTGGGACTATAGGAGTGCACCAACATGGCCTGGCTAATTTTTAGATTTTTTTTATAGAGACAGGAATTTGCTGTGTTGCTCAGGCTGGTCTTGAACTTCTAGCCTTAAGGGATTCTCCTGCCTCAGGCTCCCAAAGCACTGGGATTACAGGTGTAAGCCACCTCATCCAGCCAAAAACAGATTTTTAAAAAATTGAAATATAACCTATATATCATAAGATGCGCATCTTTGTCTTAAATGGCTCATTTGGTAAGTTTCAGTATTGTTTACATTTCTGTAACTGCTACCCAAAATAAGTTAAAGAACACTTCCCTAACCCCAGGCAGCTCCTACAGCCCTGCCTGGCAATGCCCAAGCACCTTAGGAGACCACTGCTCTGATTTCTATCTCCATAGCTCAGCCTTTTCTGTTCCTTGACATCATATTAAACAGAATCATACAGGATCTATCTTTTTGTGTCTTGCTTATTTTACACAACACAAGCTTTTGGGATTCATGCATACTGCTCTTTGTAGCAGGGTTTGTTTCTTTTCATTGCTGAGTTCTATTACATTTAAGGGATACACCACAATGTATTTATCTATTCTCCTTTTGATGGACATTTGGTTGTTTTGCAGTTTTTGGCTATTAGGAATAAGGTTATTAATGAATACTCTCGTACAGGGCTTTGTTTTTTTTTTTTTTTTTGGACACAGGTTTTCATTTCTTTTAAGTAATTACTTAGGGGTGGAATTGCTGGGTCATAGGGTAGATGCTTGTTTAAATTTTTAAAGAACTACCAAACACACCAAATTGTTGTGCTATTTTGTTCAAATGTTAGAGCTTATTCGACAAACATTTATCAAGCAACTATCATTTCCCAGACACGCTTCCAAGTGCTGGGGAGATAGCAGTAAATAGAACAGGACAAAAATTTCTGCTTTTGGGGACAGTTACTTGAGGAAGACACACTAGACACATAAGTTAAATATAGCATGTCAAATGGTAATAAGTGCTAAAGAGAAAAATAAAGTTCCGAGGACAGGGAAGAAGCATCTGGTATATGCTTTGTGAATAATTAACATTGACTATTATCTTTTTTTTTTAAAGATACTGGGCTCTGACTCTTTTGTTACCCAGAAGTTAGCTCACTGGATTTTGCAACGGGTTGCTGACCTTAGCAACACAAGTGTTAGTGAATCCCATGACTTCTTAATTGGCCGTGAGGCATTCTTGCCACCAGATGCAGAAAAAGGGACTATAGGCCGGGCGTGGTGGCTCAGGCCTGTAATCCCAGCACTTTGGGAGGCCAAGGTGAGAGGATCCCTTCAGGCCAGGAGTTCAAGACCAGCCTGGGCTGATTTCTACAAAAAGGAAAAAAGTACATTTCTACAAAAAGTAAAAAAAATTAGTTGGGCATGGTGGCACCTGTCCGCAGTCCCAGCTACTAGAGAGGCCGAGGCAGGAGGATCGCTTAAGCCCAGGAGTTTGAGGTGGCTGTGAGCTAGGATCTGAGATGGTGCCATTGCACTCCAGCCCAGGAGACAGAGTGAGATCCTGTCTCAAAAATAAATAAATAAATAATAAATGGATTGTGAACCATTGTAGATGAGTGTGGGGTTCTGGTGACAGCCAGTCTGGGCTCAACTCCTGGCTTGGTCACATACAGTGCCCTCGAGGGAATTATTACCTGCTCTCAGTTTCAGTTTTCCTATTTGCAAATAAAGATAATGAGGAGTCCCAACCCCATAGGGTTATAAGGTGGAAGGAGATAATGCTTTTAAATTGCTTGGCACAAAGCCCAATAAACACTCAATTAATGTTAGTTGTCAACATTTTTTAAAAAAGAGACTAGGGTTAGGTTTCATATGTGACCTAAGACTTCTATATATTCCCTGGAATTGACATTCTCATGCTTAACCTGCCTTTGCATGGCTGCTTCTGCGAGACCCTTTGGAGATCACTCGTGTTTTATTTCCTGCGACTTCTTTCTCTTTCTCTCTGTGCTGACCCAGATGAGGAGAATTCAGCTCCTTTTCCTTGATTTTCACCGACAATTTTGATTTCACATGAAGCCATTGGGTAACGAGTGGCACAGAAAGACGGGAAAGGGTCAGTTTGTGCCATAGCACCCAGGAGACCTTGAAATGGCTCCAACACCGTGAAATTGGATATTCTGCTCCAGAGTCTCCTCCCTCTGACACCCTCTGTTTTTTTCTCCCTCTTTCTCTCCTCCTCTCTGTTCTCAGCATTCCACTCCACCCCTAATTCCTCTTTATTTCTCCGGGGAGCAGTTTAACAGACTCATTCGTTTTTCTGTTTTGTGAAACTCCTGCTCTCAGTCCAACCTGTACCACCAAGCAGCTGCTTAACAGAGACAGTTTCTTCTCTGAGATAAGTCTGCAGAGCACTTGTAACTTGATCAACAACATATGGCCCACGAGACAGCTCTTTCGTCCTCGTTGTCCTCATGTGCACGATGAGATGTATGATTGTGGACAGGGATTGGCATTTCCACATAGTCTAAGCGCCTGTGCTTTCTCAGATGATGTCTCAGCTCCTCAATGTGGCTTTGTGACCGGTGGGAGAGACCTGGGTGTTTGTCAGACTCTGCTGGTACCTTTCTCCTCCCTCCCTTTCCTCCTTGCTTTGCCTGGGGCCCTTCCAGAGTGTGGTGCAGGGCGGGTGACTCGGGCTCCTGCAGCCTGGCAGGCTCTGCTCTCTAGAAAGTTGCCTCCATCCCTGAACTTGGTCCTTGGGCTGTCTTTGTGAATCCCAGCTTGTTTTCCACATGCTTGTTTCACTGAGGGAGCCTCTGGGGTTTTCTTTATGCCTTTTTAGCAAACTGTATTCTGTTCTTTTGCTGTTTTGCATTTGGAATTATGCCTTCAATTATGCAGCTTAAGTGTTCTTCTTTTACTTTACTTCTCTGTAATTGCTAAGCTGTCTAATTTTATTTTCTCTTAAAAATCCTCTTCCCTTAGCACCAAAAAAGAAATATTTAGGTATAAATCCAACAAGATATGTATAAGTCCTATATGAGGAAAACTCCAAAGATCTGATAAAAGAAACAACTAAATAAATGAAGAGAGATTCCATGTGCAGTAGACAGGAAGACTCAACATTGTCAAGATGTCAGTTCTTCCCAATTTGATCTATTAAAATCTTAGGAAGGTATTTTGTACATATAAACAAATGGATTCTAAAGTTCATATGGAAAGACAAAAGATCCAGGATAGCTAATACAACATTGAAAATGACAAAAGTCAGAATACTGATACCTTCTGACTTCAAGACTTGCTGTAGGCCGGATGCAGTGTCTCACACCTGTAATCCTAGCACTGTGACAGGCCAAGCAGGAGGATTTCTTGAAGCCAGGAGTTTGAGACCAGCCTGAGCAAGAGCAAGACCCCATCTCTACTAAAAATAGAAAAATTAGTGAGGTGTGGTGGCGCTTGTGCCTGCAGTTCCAGCTACTCAGGAAGCTGAGGCAGGAGGATCGCTTAAGCCCAGGAGTTTGAGACTGCAGTGAGCTATGATTGTACACTGCACTGTAGCCTGGGTGGCAAAGCGAGACTCTGCCTCTAAAATTTAAATAAGTAAATAATTAGTAAAATTCCTAGAAGATAACATAGGAGAAAATATACTTGATCTTGGGTTTGGCAATTACTTTTTGGATCAAAAAGCTCAATCAATGAAAGAAAAATTGATAAGTTGTACTTCATTATATTAAAAACTTGCATTGCAAAAGGTACTATTAAGCAAATGAAAGGCAGACTACAGACTGGAAGAAATATTTTCAAAACACATATCTGAAGAGAGTAGTATCCAAAATATACAAACTCAACAAGAAAACAAATAACCCAATTTAAAAATGAGCAAAAAACATGAACAGGCACTTCACCAAAGAAAATATATCATATGAAAAGATGCCCAACATCGAATGTCCTTAAGGAACTGCAAATTAAAGCAATAGGGAGGTACCATTACTGTGCTATAATAAAAAATATATTTAGACTTTGTTCCCAGCTCCTGGCACAGAGCTTCAAAGACCCTTCAAACTTCCTGAGTGGTAGGAGTGTCTTTTGTTATTCACAAGGGGCCCTTTTTGATTATAGCTGGGTTTATAATTAGGTGGCTTAGAATAGGGCTCCTTGGTAGTCTCAGGATAGGTCTGGTCATCAGAAAGACCAAGTGAGTACAGGGTTGAAACTTTCAGCCCTGCTCCCTGGCCTCTAGGTGTGGGTGGGGGAGGGGCTGGAGGTCAGGCTTTATAAACCTCTTGAACATCAGATTTGATGAGCTGCCAGTTGGGGGGTAGGTAGCATGCTTAGAGAAGGCACAGAAGCCCCATGCACCCTCCTGTCCCACCCCCATAACTTGCTCTGTGGTGATTTCTGTGTTGTTTCCTTTATAATAAGCCAGTAAACATAAAGTATTTTCCTAAATTCTGTGGGCCATTCTAGCAAATTATTGAATCTGGGGAGGGAGTTGTGGGAACCCTATGCATTTATAGTCCATCAGTCAGAGGTCCCAGGGATTTGGGGACTTTCAAATGGCATCTGAAGTTGGGGCAGTCCTGTGGGACTGAGCCCTCAACTTGTGGGTCTGATACTAATGCCAGATAGATAGTGTCAGTGTTAGGTAGAGCACGAGGGATTCCAGGTCTCCTAGGGACAAAAGTGGGTGCCTTG